TGTGTGAATACCCATGCAGTCCAATTCTAGTGCAGACCAAAAAAAGGGTCCTGCACTTTTTTGGTGCGGAAGCAGTGTGATTTGATCCATAACAAAATGTATGGCTCAAATCGCACCGTACAGAAATCGCATTTGATTTGCCCAGGAATGCAGTGCGGTTCCTGTACGAATCACATCCGATATGCAGCACCGCACAAGTGTAAACCCAGGATAAAAGCAGCTTTAGTTTCTTTTCTATCAAAGGTCAAACGTGATAACCTAATATCTGGCAGACATTATTGACCTTGGTACTGCATTGCACAATAGGATGGCTGGAGGGGACATGGTTTGTGTTTATAGTAATGGCTGCCAGAACAATCTTTACTGTCTGAGAGTACTAAAGCAGATAGCCTACTGAGCAGCTATGCAGATCCAGAGTCCTGGACGCTGGTGGAAACAAATATATAATGATGTCCTGAATTACAAGCAGATACCATGAAGGATTTCTACAAGACATTTTTGTAGATCGGGGTTTCCAAATTACAGCCCGTGGGGCCAACATCCAGGTGGGCTACAAGATGTTGTCCATCCCACAGCTGGGGGAAGTGAGGCATCCTCAGACGCGGTGCTTCTGATCCTAAGCTATAAAGCACAGCACCACCTGCCTGGAGTTTGCATGTTCTCCCTGTGCCTGCGTGGGTTTCCTCCAAGTTCTCCGGTTTCCTTCCACACTCCAAAGACATGCTAGTAGGTTAATTGGCTCCTCTCTAAATTGGCCCTAGTATGTGTATGTATGCATGTAAGCTAGGGACCTTAGATTGTACGCCCCTCGAGGTTAGGGACTGATGTGAATGTACAATATATATGTAAAGTGCTGCGTGAATTGATGGCGCTATAGAAGTACCTGTACTAAATAAATAAGGAAAGTAATTAATTTAAATTTTATTCATAGTTACATAGTTAGTCTGGCTGAAAAAAGACGAAAGTCCATCCAGTTCAACCATAAAAAAAAAAGTTATAATCCTATACCCACAGTTTGCTCCTGCAGGGAAAAAAATTCCTTCCTGATCACCCGAGAGGCAATCAGATATTCCCTGGATCAACTTTACCTATAAATGTTAGTATCCAGTTATATTCTGTGTATCTAAGAAACAATCCAGGACTTTTTTGAAGCAATCCACTGAGCTGGCCAGAACCAACTCTTGAGGGAATCTATTCCACATTTTCACAGCTCTCACTGTGAAGAAACCTTTCCGTGTTGGAGATTACATTTATTTTCCTCCAGATGTAAAGAGTGCCCCCTTGTCCTCTGTGATGACCTCAGGGTGGGTATTCATTCATGATTTTTTTTCGCCCTTAATATTTGTAAATTATACAATGTGGCCCTTGTACTGAAAAGCTTGGAGACCCCTGTTGCAGAGGACAGCTTCTAGAAAGTAAGCTCAACTTTTCTACTAAAAACTGTACACCGCTGATCAATCCAAAAGTATATTTTAAAGGGTTAGTTCACCTTACCAAAAAAACTGCCTATGCAGACAAGGGGCATCTTTAGATAAAAATAAACTGCAGCTTTGATTAAAGTTGCATAATGACCTTGCTATAGGTGTCGGCCATTTTTATGATTGCTTCAGAAAAGTCCTGGATTCTTTCTTGGATACACAGAATATAACTGGATACTAACATTTATAGGTAAAGTTGGTCCAGGGAATATCCGATTGCCTCTCGGGGGATCAGGAAGGAATTATTTCCCCTGCAGGAGCAAATTGGATCATGCTTTGCTGGGTTTTTTGCCTTCCTCTGGAGCAACTGTGGGTATAGGATTATAACTTTTTTTTTTTTCTATGGTTGAACTGGATGGACTTTTGTTTTTTTTCTCAGCCAGACTAACTATGTACAGTTGGGCAAAAAAGTATTTAGTCAGCCACCAATTGTGCAAGTTCTCCCACTTAAAAAGATGAGAGAGGCCTGTAATTGGCATCATAGGTAGACCTCAACTATGAGAGACAAAATGAGAAAAAAAAATCCAGACAATCACATTGGCTGATTTGGAAAGAATTTATTTGCAAATTATGGTGGAAAATAAGTATTTGGTTAATATCAAAAGTTCATCTCAATACTTTGTTATATCTTTTGTTGGCAATGACAGAGGTCAAACGTTTCCTGTAAGTCTTCACAAGGTTGGCACACACTGTTGCTGGTATGTTGGCCCATTCCTCCATGCAGATCTCCTGTAGAGCAGTGATGTTTTGGGGCTGTCGCTGGGCAACACGGACTTTCAACTCCCTCCAAAGGTTTTCTATGGGGTTGAGATCTGGAGACTGGCTAGGCCACTCCAGGACCTTGAAATGCTTCTTACAAAGCAACTCCTTTGTTGCCCGGGCGGTATGTTTTAGGATCATTGTCATGTTGGAAGACCCAGCCACGTTTCATCTTCAATGCCCTTGCTGATGGAAGGAGGTTTGCACTCAAAATCTCACGATACATGGCCCCATTCATTCTGTGCTGTACATGGATCAGTCGTCCTGGTCCCTTTGTGGAGAAACAGCCCCAAAGCATGATGTTGCCACCCCCCTGCTTCACAGTAGGTATGGTGTTCTTTGGATGCCACTCAGCATTCTCTCTCCTCCAAACACGACGAGTTGTGTTTCTACCAAACAGTTCTATTTTGGTTTCATCTGACCATATGACATTCTCCCAATCCTCTTCTGGATCATCCAAATGCTCTCTAGGAAACTTCAGACGGGCCCGGGCATGTACTGGCTTAAGCAGGGGGACACGTCTGGCACTGCAGGATCTGAGTCCCTGGCGGCGTAGTGTGTTACTGATGGTAGCCTTTGTTACGTTGGGCCCAGCTCTCTGCAGGTCATTCACTAGGTCCCCCCGTGTGGTCCTGGGATTTTTGCTCACCGTTCTTGTGATTATTTTGACACCACGGGGTGAGATCTTGCGCGGAGCCCCAGATCGAGGGAGATTATCAGTGGTCTTGTATATCTTCCATTTTCTAATTATTGCTCCCACAGTTGATTTGTTCACACCAAGCTGCTTGCCTATTGCAGATTCAGTCTTCCCAGCCTGGTGCAGGTCTACAATTTTGTTTCTGGTGTCCTTCAACAGCTCTTTGGTCTTCACCATAGTGGAGTTTGGAGTGTGACTGTTTGAGGTTGTAGACAGGTGTCTTTTATACTGATAACAAGTTCAAACAGGTGCCATTGATACAGGTAATGAGTGCAGAACAGAGGAGCCTCTTAAAGAAGAAGGTACAGGTCTGTGAGAGCCAGAAATCTCGCTTGTTTGTAGGTGACCAAATACTTATTTTCCACCATAATTTGCAAATAAATTCTTTCCAAATCAGCCAATGTGATTGTCTGGATTTTTTTTCTCATTTTGTCTCTCATAGTTGAGGTCTACCTATGATGCCATTACAGGCCTCTCTCATCTTTTTAAGTGGGAGAACTTGCACAATTGGTGGCTGACTAAATACTTTTTTGCCCCACTGTAACTATATACCTCCTGAAGCCTGACTGGAATACTCCCAGGGTGTTGCTAAGAGAGGCCTAGTCGTTACGGCCCACCCTCCCAGGAATAAACCCTCAAACAATGAGCTCAGAGCTACTGAATCAAGGAGAGAAAAAGCATGTGAGGGGGTCTGATTCTGAGAAAAGAGCTCCCTCCTGTGATGGTGGAAGTGAACAGGAACAGCTAGGCCTCACTTAGCAACATCCTGGGAGTATTCCAGTCAGGCTTCAGGAGGAATGTAAATGGCCGACGCCTGTTGACCTAATGACAGTCAGGGTGAATCCTAAAAAGACGAGATCATTAATGACAGCCTCCATTATGCATCAAATTACATCTGACATCGGTATCTATACTGATCTGACTCTGGAAGGGATCAGTCCAGGATTTCTCACTGAGATGAAATGGAGGGCATCCGTGTGACAGGAACCTAAAAGCCTGTGAAGGAAAAAGGCTCTTGGGAGATGTAGTTTTGGGGGCATGTCTACATTAATAGAAACTGAGGTCCCAGCAGCTGACCCTGCAAGACATTTACAAGCATAACGTCACAGGGAGTAATAAAAGCTTTTTCCTGCTACAGGAATTAAGGTAAAAGAAACAAAAATTAATGATCTAGGAGGTAGAAAGACAGGTTTGGGGGTACATTTGGGCCAAGCCTATAAAAAATCCTTTAACCTCCTTGGCGGTTTTCCCGAGTGTAGCTCGGGGTAGAATTTCTATACCAAGAACGGTAACCCCGAGCTACACTCGGGCTTACCATGCAGCGTTCTCTGGGGGTCCCTGCAGCACTTACCTTGTCCTTCGCTCCCACGATGTGTCCCCTGCAGCGTCCCCGTCCATCTCCTCCGGCGGATGCCGGCATCTGGCTTCCGTGTTCCGGTCCCCGTGACGTCGGAACGTTCGGGCGGCGGAAACCGGCGGGAAATTTGAAATTTTTAAAAAATGACATTTTTGCTGTCATTGCTTTTTTACTGCATTTCACATACATTTTGTCCCCACTGCTTTGTCCTGCGCCCTGCCTGCATTTTGACTGTTCTTTCTGCCTGGAAACTTAGAAAAGTCCATGGCGGCCAAAAAGCATCCCTTTACGTCAAAAGTGGTTTTAGAACAGCGATAGTAAATCAGAACCACTTGCAGAATTGAGTGATAATGATTTGTGGGGAAATTCGTCATCAGACACTGAAAACGATTTTGCGACTTTGCTCAGCGATGTGCGAATTTGCCTCCGTATTTCAAATTTCAGTGTTTTTGGTTTGATTATATTATTGAATTAAATTTATTATTATTATATTATTATTTTTTATGACTATTTATTAAATTATAATTTATGATTTTGTGTTTCAAGTTTTATCATATCCGGAATGTTTAATAGACTCTTTTTCGGATAGATTTCAGTGAGTTATTCCTAAAAATTACAGCCTACAATTAAAAACTACATATTTTCCATGCAAAAAAATGGTACCGCTTTCAGCACAAAAATTCCTGACATGATCATACCGCCAGGGAGGTTAAACTTGGTGACTGGTTGTAAGTAAAAGCAGCTTGATCACCTGAGATCCAGGGATTTCTTTGTGAAAGGCCTCTGTGGTTTCCTTCACCAGATCCGTTAGGGCGTAATACTCGGGTGTATGTGGACGTATTGTCTGCTCAATGTCCAAGTTGATCCCATCCATGTACTGAGTCTTGGTCAGGTTCACCTTCTCTGCAATCCATGCAGCTCTCTTCTTTGGATCTATGATTTTCTTCACTGATACATTGCCTACAATGTTGGGCAAATAGAGAGAAATGATGCAAAGAAGACTTAGGATCTTCCTTGGGAAGGTTACAGCATTAACAGGACAAGTTCAGGTTTTTTTTTTTTTAACTAAAACGTATATTGTTCTCCAGACCAGAGGTGGATTTACCACAAGGCAAACAAGGCATTTGCCTAGGGCGGCATTTTTCAGGGGGGGGGCAGCACTGCCCCTCGGAAAAAGGGACGGAAAAAAGGACACACGTGGCATGGGACCTGGTGGGTTCCAAGAGAGGCTGCGGGTTTCATGATGGTGTATGCACAGCCCGACTCTCGTTATAAGGGATGTCCGGAGCTGTGAAGATGAGTGTCTTTCTCTCTCTCACTGTGCGCGATGGTGGTTGGTGTATGGGGGGGGGGGGGGGCAGTGGTAGTGGAAGGCTTTCTCGAGCGGGGGGGGGGCTCATTTTTGTGTTGCCTAGGGCAGCACAAAACCTACATACACCACTGCTCCAGATCCTGGGAACATATAGTGGTTTGTATGTATTTCCTTTAGGCCCCTATAGTCAGGGCTAAAAGGTGGAACTTTAGACATTGATCTTCAGGCTCTCCTTATCTGCTTTGCAGAAAATTCCTGCTCTATACAGAGATCAATAGCTCAAGCTGAAATGTACAGACACAATGACTCCTCCCCCTCCCTGTCTGCTCTCTTCAGTTGGTTCTCCTGGAGATTTCAGTGAGAAAGATATTGTAGGAAGGAAAACCCCCCTGCTGCATTCTCTCTTTTAAACACATATTGCTTTGTCAATCTTCAGTCATGGGAAAGTTGTATTATATTTTTACTTGAAAAAGTAAAAATGGTAAAAATGTTGACATCTTAAAAAGAAATAAAAATAAAAATTGACCCAAACCATTAAAGTTTCGATTCAAGTGAATAGATTAGATTACATGCATTGGTCTAAGGCCCCATGTACACGGGACACTTCTGAACGATGGAAACTGACTGCTGGAAAACGTAGGTTATAAAATGTCTGTTTAGCCGCGTTTGCATAACGCGTTTATGTTTAGAAGCGTTTTTTAAAGATAAGCACAGGAGAACCTCCCAAATGCCCAGAATGCACTGAAAAGTGGTAAATTATTAACTATTTCAGACTGTTTCAGAGAAATACAGAGAGTAGAAGCAGAGAGAGCAGTATGTGTTGAGATTAGTTAGGTGTGAGTTGCTCATTAACATTTCTTTTGTTTCCAAGGGTGGGAACTGTGTCTGCTGGAGGGAGTCATTAAGGTCACCTGGCAGGGGGTCTTCATGAGGAATTTGAGGTGTGAATTGGTCATTAACATATCTTTTGTTTGCAAGGGTGGGAGAGGTCTGAGGTGTGAATTTGTCATTACAATGTGTGACAAGCTTGATAGGAACATCCTGTGTTTAGTGTTTTGTTCATTTGGGTACCTTGAAAACACTTTGCATGCATTTTTCATGATGAAAAATGGCTCTGGACAGCATCGGGAACTGGAAGAGTTAAAAAGAAATTTTCAAACGCTTATAAACGCGATTTTCATTTAACCGCGTTTACAAGCGTTTTGCATTTGAAATGCTGATAAAATCAACTGCTGAACGCAAGTTTGGTGCGTTCAAAAAAATGATTGTAAACTCAAATGCCTGTGAACGACTATAAACGAATATGTGTACATGGACACGTAGGAAAACATTAGGGTGAGTTAAGGGGCTGCTGAAAAAATCGCTGAACAGCTCCTAAACGTGAGTTTATCAGCTGCAGTGTACATGAGCCCAAACAGTTTACGCATTAGAGAACTTTCAGCCCATATCAAGTTTGTGCTGCCATAGAAAATAAAGGAAAAGGAGCTATTTTGATGCCACTTGATAATTTTGAAGATTAATTTCTCCACAGTCCATATAACTACAAAGGTGAATAAAGTTTTGCTTTAAAGTGCTTTTAATGCTTGCAGAGAATATAGAAAAACTTTATTGTCCATACTCTGGGGCAGGTGCATTTTAGGTACATGTTCCAACAAAGAAAACATGCTACCGCAAATTACCTGGTAGACTGGGAACCTCTGCTGTGGACCAAATGCCTTTGAAATATAGCAATAATAATCTAATACAATTGACCTGGCTACTCAGTAACATCCATTGCATCAATTCTTCATTGTCTTATTGGCTACATGGCAGAATACAAAAGTACAATGCTAACGCGTTTTGGCAGAAGCCTTATTCATACTATAAAGCAGGGGTCTCCAAACATTCTAAACAAAGGGCCAGTTTAGTGTCTTCAGACTTTACGGGGGCCAGACTGTGGCAATTGGAAGTAGAAGAGGTCTTGAGGTCAGTGAGAAAAAATAATGCCCCGTCATTGGTGTCATTGGGAGAAATTGTGCCACTGAGCCCCATTGTTAGAGTCACTGGGAGGAATTGAGTCCCATCATCAGTGTCATGGGGTCTCATTGTTGGTGTCACTGGGAGGAATTGTGTCCCATCATCGGTGTTATTGGGCCTCTTTGTTGATGTCATTGGGAGGGATTGTGTCCCATCATCGGTGTCATTGGGCCTCATTGTTGATGAAATTGGCAGAAACTGTGTCCCATGATTGGTGTCATTTGGCCCCATTGTTAGAGTCACTGGGAGGAATTGTGTCCCATCACCAGTGTCATTAGGGCCTCATTATTGGTGTCATTGGGAAGAATTGTGTCCCATCATTGGTGTCATTGGGCCTCATTGTTAGTGGCACTGGAGGAATTGTGTCACATCATCGGTATCATTGGGCCTCATTGTTGATGTCATTGGGAGAAAATTGTGTTCCATCATTGGTGTCATTGGGCCCCATTGTTAGAGTCATTGAGAGGAATTATGTCCCATCATGAGTGTCACCGGGAGGAGTTGCCTCTAAGGCATTGTTGTAGAGCAGGGGTCTCCAAACTTTCTGAACAAAGGGCCGGTTTACTATCCTTATGACTTTGAAGGGGCCGGACTGTGGCCAGTGTGAGTAGAAAATGCCCCGGAGTCAATGGGAATAAACAATGCTTCATTATTGGTATTAGTGGGAGGAATGGTGATCCATTGTTGGTAGTAGGGGAAAAAATAGTGCCCCATCAATGGGATCAGGGAAAAGGATAGTGTCCCATTATTGGTATCAGGGAAAGGAATAGTGCCCCATCATTGGTGTCAGTGGGAAGAATAGTTCCATACCATTGGTGTCATTGGGAGGAATTGTGTCCCATCATTGGTGTCATTGGGCCTCATTGCTGGTGTCATTGGGAGAAATTGTGTCCCATCATTGGTGTCATTGGGAGGCATTGCGCCCCTTCATTGGTGTCAGTGGGAGGAATCATGCCCCATAGTTTATGCGAGTGTAAGAAACAGTGCTCCAAGGACCAGGTAAAAGCAAGCAAAGGCTCACATCTGGCCCCTGGGCTACAGTTTGGAGACCACTGGTATAAAGAACTGATGAAATGGATGTTACTGAGTAGCCGGCTTCAATGGTTTAGGGGATTATTGCTACATTCCAAAGGCATTTTATATATATATGTTCTGGGCTAAGGACACAGACCAGCCATGAACGATGGCACTCCGATGATCATCTTTCAGACTATGACCTGCCAGGTTTAGGAATTCTGAGGCTGTCAAAAAAGATGCCTGAAAGATGTTCACAATGCATTTGTCCAGCAATGTTTTAAACCCTTTCCAATGCATTAGTGAACCAGGTTAAGTATCCTGTGACACTCTTTTGTTAACACCATTTGAGCCCATGCATCACCAAGCCACTTCACACGCCATTCTCACCCTTTAGCACAAATCTTGCTCCTTTGGAGTGTGCAAAGCACATCAGTCCGGGGTCATAAGATCCAAATAAAGCCACCGTGGTCACCGCAGACCAGTCATAGTGTTTCCAGTTTTTGCCGCGAACATGGAAGGTATAGACCTATAAAGAGGAACAGAATGATATTGTCAGTTTTGTAAAATTCTGCTACTCCGGAATAACCAACAATACCACAATGACGTGCACCCTCTGCCCATGGGGCTGGTCCAGCCATTGTCTTCTAGTGACACCAGAGTGCAGCAGGAGTCATGTATCCCTGCACATCAAAGTTCTGGAAA